TTTTTTTAGGTCAATCACACTTAGATGTATTCTCTAAGTGACCTGGTTGAACAAATTGTTTCATTTTTAACGAATATACTGCCTATTTCGGGACGTCCACAGATTTTTTGTTTCAAATTTTTGACTAACTTTTGCCTAGTAACATCCTAGAATGAATAAAATAAAATGTTCTCATGTAACTCATGTTCTAAATTACAATCTATGTTTGCAATGTCACGTCCGAATACTTTTATCCAGTTAATTACAGATAAAACTTATATCTTATAATATGTAGGTATCGACGTGGATATTCTTCAATGTTCTGAGTGCCATCGGCGCGTGTATGCGTTCAACGAAACATTCCCCTTAGGTAATATTGATTTAAATAAAAATTAGCTTGGTGATATTTTGATAGATCATATCATTTTATGTAACGAAACGTCAAAGTACAAACTTAAGTATGTGTAACGTAAAAAATTAATAATTCGATTTAGTATGCAGTAGATCAAAGGAATCCTTTGAAAATCGAAAAAACTTTGGAGTATTCCACACTGAAAATATTAAAGAGTGGAGGTAGCTTCAAACGTATGGATATACATTTCTGGCCAAAAGTTTTGAATTATCTACATTATCTCTCTAAATTGCATCCACTACAACAAACAAATTTTAAAATAACAAATCCAGAAAACACAGCATCAATGGTTGCTTGCTCTAAATTATATATTGTTATTTTAATAACAGGTTATAATTTTGCAGTGTATGCTATTAATCCAAAAAATTAATTATATTGTATATAGCAGATTAAGTCTCTTATAATCGGTTTCAGTCTTCTTAATAAAAATTTATTTAAATAACTCTTCGAATAAAAGATACTTTATCTTTATTCGTTATTCGAAGCTTGAATAAAAAAAGTATCTTTATTCGACCAGCGTCGATTGAATAAATTTATTCGACGAGAATTATCCGACGAATAAAAGATACTTTTTTTATTCAGGGCGTTTTATTCATAGCGCCGGTGATATTTTCATCTTTTATTTGTATCTTTTATCCGAAGGCTTTGAATAAATCTTCAAATAACTTTGGCCAGCCAGCCAGCACGAAAAAACGTGCTAGCGAGCGTCGAACGTCAAAGACCGACAGTCGGCATACAATCTAAACAGACGTAGATGAGATAAGGAATCACGCACGAATGAAAATGTAAACTTTTACAATTTTCAATATATATTAATGAAAGTATCACGAATGAACTGAAGAAATTCTGCCGGTGGAAATGAGTCCAAATACGATATAATTTGGACTATTTTCAATAATATATCATTTTTATCCGCAACATTACGTATGTGTAAAAATTGTTCAATTACGCTCGAATTTGAACGCATGGTTATTGCAAGAATCTCTTCAATTCATTCATGACACTTTCATTAATATATATTGAAAATTGTAAAAGTTTAAATTTTCACTCGTGCGTGATTCCTTATCTCATCTACGTCTGTTTACATTGTATGCCGACTGTCGGTCGCTGGCCTTTGACGTTCGACGCCCGACTCTCGCCAGCGCGTTTTTTCGAGCTGGCTGCCTGGCCAAAGTTATTTACAGTTTACTCAAAGTTTTCAGGTAAAGATACAAGTGAAAGATGAAAATATCGTCGACGCTATGAGTGAAACGCCATGAATACAAAAAGTAACTTTTACTCATCGGATAATTATCGTTGAATAAATTTATTTAATCGACGCTCGTCGATAAAGTTACTTTTTCGTTCAAACTTTGAGTAACGATAAAAGATAAAGTATCTTTTATTCAAATAGTTATTTAAATAATTTTTTATCTAGATAATGCTCATCTCTGACTAGAGAATGCCCATCTCTGCCCGAGACTCAATAACTCAACTCGGGCTTGAGCTTGAGCGCGGGCGGGCAGCCTGACTTCGGGACGGCTCGACAAGAATCGGACATTATCGGCCCGAGAACCCGTAATCCAGCTATTAAGTGGAAACAGAGAAGGAAAGGCTTATCTTATCACCTATTCCCGTCTTTTCTTAAATCATAATTAGTATCTCATTATTTATTATCCATTTACATATATAGTGCATAATAGAAATTAGTAAACAGTACGATTTTCAATGCTAAAATGGAAATAATAATAAAGTTTGTACCTTTCTTCAAGTAATTATATTTTTTTAACATAACTAAAAATTGTGCAGAAAACGAATGTAATTGTATTGTTTACAATTAGTTGAAAATTTAAACAAAATAATATCTTGTGCATAAGTTGTATTTAAATTGCATGGTTCAAAAGTAAGTAAATTTATGGTTCAGTACCCACAATGATAGCGTTTCCGCTATAACATTTTTGAAATTCTATCTGGAAAAGATATAGCATATTTTGTACATTCTTCCATGGTAAATTTTTGCCCCATTTCCGTGGTAACGAGTTTTAGTTCATTAATATTTCTTGGTTTTTTCTCGGCTATTTTTAATTTAAATAAACCCCACATATTTTCTATCGGTAACAGGTCTGGACTTTGTGGTGGCCAATCTAATAAGTTAATATTATTATCTTTTGTGTAATTCATAACAGTTCTCACTTTGTGAATGGGTGCATTATTTTGCTGCAGGATAAAATCATTCCCTGTCAAACGCTTTCCTTCTGGTACAATAACTTCTTGCAATAATTTTAAGTATATATAAACTTTATTAATTCCCCTAGGGGTTACAATTTCTCCTACTTTTCTCGCTCCTTAAGAACTACGCTTACCCTACGCACTTACAGTTTCTATTTTCTTATATCTACCCCCGCATGTCCACACACCCACACACCCCCTTTCCCTATCTTGGACCGCCGCTTTCCGCTCGTCTCACCTATCACTCTCATTTCTTCTATCATTCGTTCTCCCATCCATTCTCCCTTTTCTTCACTCCTTCTCTCCTTTCTTCCACCTTCCTCATCCATTCTTCTCCCTCCCCCTCATCTCCTAACACTTCCCTTACCATTTCGTGCCACCCCATTTCTTCTCTCCAACCCATGCATTCTTCCCACACATGTTCCCACGTTTCTTCCCTCCACCCACAGATCCTGCACCTTCTTTTTTCCTCTTCCAACCAATACCTATTTTCCCTCATCTCATTGCCTAACCTAAATCTGGCCACCCTTTGCCACCTACCTTCTCCCCACCCTTTCATCAGGTACCCAGGAATCCCTCTTCCTTTAACCATTTTGTACCATTTATTGTACTTTGAATTTTCTATATTTTTCCACCTATCCTCCTCTTGTAATCTTCTCTCTCTATTCACTATTTCCTCTTCACGTGGCTCTCCTCCTTTTCTCATTCCTTCTATCTCCTCCACTGACCATCCCCTTTCCTCGTAATACTCCCTTTTTTCCTCTTCCCATCCCTCTAATACTTCCCCTTTCCTCGCCCCCCCCCCTTTTATTTCCTCCCAACACCTCCTTGCCAGCTCTCCTCCTTGTCCCTCCTCTAATTTCCTTTCATATCCCCATGCTCTCATTCCTGCCTTCCCTTTTCGTTTTGCTCTTTGCATCTCTTCTCTTATTATATACCCCGGTGTACTCCTTTCCGCCCCTAGTACCCACTTTAGAAACCTTTCTTGCAGCCTCCCTATTTTTACCTTCTCCTTCCATCCCAATTTTATCAAATAACCATATCCTTCTTCCCCAATCTTTCCCGAACCTCCTTTTTCCTATCCCCCACACCTGTCCCATCACCGCTGCCCCCTTCTTCACCCTTTCCTCTATGTGTGCCTCTTGTTCCCCATTCCTCATCAAGGTATATCCCAGATATTTGAATTTCTTTACTTCCTCCACCTCCTTTTCTCTCCACCTTCAAGACACCTTCTTCTATCTCCCTCCACCCCTCCTACACCTCATAATCTTCGTTTTCTTCGTGTTTAGCTGTAACCCCTTTTCCTCCAGGTATTTCTCCAGTTTCCCCATCATTCCTTTCATCCCCTCCTCATCTTCTGCAACCATCGCAATATCATCTGCGTATGCCAGTGTGTAGATCTTTTTATCCCCCAGCCTTACCCCTCCCCAACCTCCTCTCCCCAATTCGTCATCCAGATCAGCCAGCAGTAAGGTGAAAAGGCTTGGGCTGAGTGGGCATCCTTGCCTTACACCTCTCGCCGACCAAAATCTTTTTCCTTCATTCTCCCCCACTCTCACCCTACTCACAGTTTCCTTCAGTATCTCCTCCGCTCTCTCCACCAAACCCTCTCTCACTCCTCTCTTCTTCATTGTCTTCAGCAACACCTCTCTGTCCACCGAGTCAAACGCCGCATTCAAATCTACAAATAACATAACCATTCTTCTCTTCCTCCTCCCCACCTGCCTATTTATTAAATAGTTTAGGACATAGATGTTATCCATACACCCTATCCCTTTTCTGAATCCCGTTTGACTCGGTGGCAGTAGATTCTTTGCTTCTACCTCCTCCCTCAGCCTCTCTGTTAACACAGATGCGTATATTTTATACGCCGTCTGTGTTAGCGTTATTCCCCTGTATTCCTCTACTTTGCTTCCCTCCCCCTTCTTTATCACTGGTATCACTATACGCTCCCTCCATTCTTCCGGCCATTCTTCTCCTTTCCATACCCCATTGCACACTTTCCACAACCATTCTTCTACCTCTACCCCTCCATATTTCCACACTTCGTTCGGGATGCCGTCTCCCCCCGCCGCCTTTCCGTCATTCAAATTTCTTACCACCCTTCTTATTTCCTCTTTTCTTATCTCTTCTTCTCCATCCTCCTTCCTTCTCCTTTCCCTTCCCTTTCTCACCTTCCATTCCACTCTTCCTAACAGTCCCCTAAAATACTCATCCCGTTGTTCTATTTTTATCTTCTTTTTCTCTCTCTATTTACTATCTTCCACACATCCTTTTCGGTTCTTACTCCCTGCACCTCCTTCTCCCATTTCTCTACTTCCTTTTTCTTCTTTTCTTCGCAGAGTATTCTATACTCCTTTCTCATCTCCCTATACTTTTCTCCTTCCCCTCCTTCTTGTCTTCATCTTCTCAACTCTTTCCTGACCTTACTTTTCTCCTCTCTACACTCTTCATCCCACCATCTCTTTTTTTCCTCTCCTTTCTCCCCTCTCTTTCTTGTTTTTCTTATTGCCTCTTTGATTTTCCCTTTCAGATAACTCCAATCTTCGTCCATACTTCTCTCCTTCTTCTCTCCCTTCCCAAAATTTTTTATAAATGCCTTTCCTCCTTCTTCTGTCCAATTTCCTCTCTCTCCTCTCTTCTCCCCGAACTTTTTTCTCCTTCTTTCTCCTCCAATCCCTCCCCCACTCACCCATACCGTTATCGGATGGTGGTCTGATTCTACTCTTCCCTCCACTTTCATTTTCTCCACCTTCTCTCTTGTTTCTTCATTCCCTATAATATAGTCTATCACCGAGTTTCCTTTCCCACCCGTATACGTCCACTCCCCTTCCTCGTCTCCCTTCACGTTCCCATTTAGTATTCCCCACCCCTGTTCCTCTAAATATCCGCACAGTTTCTTTCCATCTGCATTAACTTTACTATCTTTCGATTTCTTACTTCCTACTCCCCTTTCTCCCCCTTCATCCTTATCCTCCCATATTTCCCCTCCTTCCCTTCCTGTCCTCGCATTGAAGTCCCCTCCTACAATCACTCTTACTCCTCTTTCTCTATCATCTATCCACTCCTTCAATTCCTCTAATTTCCTATCTATGTCCTTGTTTACATAGACTCCAATTATCCTCCACCACTGTGTTCCCCCGATCTTTACTTTTTTCATCATTACCCCTTCCCTTTTCTCTTCCTCTCCCTCTTCTGCTTCTAATTCTTCTCTCACCCCCATTATCATCCCCCCTATCGCTCTTCCTTTTTTATGTTCCCTCCTGGCCCATTGCACCTCCCATATATATCCTTTTGGTAGCCTTGAACTAACCCATCCCCACTCCTTCTTCTCAACCCACGTTTCACTCATTACGAACACATCCCATTCCTCCAAGGCTTTCCAAAATTCACTGTCCTTATTTTTTAACCCCGCTACATTCCAGAAAGTGATTTTACATAGACTTTTCCTTTCTGCATTTTCCCTCTTTCTTATCTCCTCTGCCACCCCTTTCCTCCTTCACTCGTTTCCCTGCTCCTCAAACCACCTCTCTCCCATTTCAACCCATCTTTTCATCTTCCCATTTATCCATACCATGTATCCTACCTGTACATTTTTTCCTTTTTCCCTTTCCCTCTCCGCCTCTCTTTCTATTTTCCATCTCACCTTCCTTTCTTCCTCCGTGAGATCATCTATTCTTTCCTTCCTGCTTTTCAGTTTTTTCTTTGCCTCTATCACTTTTCTTTTTTCTTCCTTCCCTACCATTTGCATCAGTACCATTGGTACCCCCCCCCTCTCTTCCTACTCTACCTATTTTTGTTACTTCTTTAATCCCCACCCCCTCCAGTCCCATTTTCTCCCATAGCATCTTCACTTCCTCCTTCATCTCTTTCCCATTTTCTCTATCCTTTCTCTCCTCACCTTCTCCTCCCTCATCTCTTCCTCCCATTTTTTCCACTCTCCTCTCCATTCCTCTTCTACCCTTCTTCTCTCTTCTCTTTCTTTTCTCATTTCTTCCTTCACTTCTTTTAATTCTTTCATCATTTCCCTTATCATACGTTCCATGTTTCCCTCTTCTTTCTTTTCCCCCTCTCCGTTCTTCCCGTTTTTCTTTCCCTCTGGTGATCTCTCCGTCTTGGTGCATTTCCTAAACATTCCCTTTTCTAACTCACCCTCCCCCCACCCCTCTTCTTCTTCTCTCTCCTTCCTTATTTTCCCCCATATACTGTCTAGACTCCCCATGCTACTCCTTACACTACTTGTGCTATCTCTTCTATATCTTTCCTCTTTGTGTAACATCCCTTTTCGTTTTTCCTCTCCCTTCCCTCCTTCTCTCCTCCCGTCACTTTTTTCTCCGTCCATTTATCCCTTTCTTACCCTTTCTATTCTCTTCTATTCTATTTCCTATTTCAAATCCTCCCTCCTTATCGCCCGTTCTGTTAACTCCGTCTTTCTCCCACAGATCTCTCCATTTGTATCTCCGTCTTTCTCTTCCTGCCCCGCTACACTTGCTGCCTACACCTAACCTCCAAGTGCTTCCTTCTTATCTCTTTGGTTCTTCTGTCTTTACTCTCCTATCCTCTTTTCCCTTTTCACCCTACTAATTTCTCACCTTTTTCCTAACTTCCACACACACTCGTACTTCTTTCTTTCATCACCACACTCTACTTTACATCACACTGACTTTCACTCTGATTCGTACGACTGTCATGCCCGCGACCAGAAACGGAAGTCCGCAATCATTTTAAGTAAACATTTGCGTTTATTTTTCCAGATAATGGAACAATTTTTCCAACACCATATGCCGAAAAGCACCCCCAAACCATTACACACTGATCAATTGATTTTAATGATGGTCTTACATAATCGTATGACAACGCATGTCCACGTTTCCTCCACGTGTACATTTTTTTTTTAACGACCTTCTAGATTGTCGGCATCCTCTGCGGGGAATGTAACGCCGCTCGTTGCATTACGTCCTTCAGGCGTAATGTTGTCAACTGGTCCATAGCCCAGAAAGTTGACTGTGGGCATCAAACCTTCGGGAAACAACTCGGCTGGAAGTGGCATCTAGTTCCGGTTACCAGCGAGCGTTGCTTCATAACGCCTACGCGTAGTCAGTGGACACACATAACACTCATATTTATTGTGTGTTGCTTCGTCGATGGGTTCAAAAGATCCAGCGCCTTCACCTCGTAATGGGATTACCGTATCCGGGATGTTGGCGCGGATGTTGTCTCCTGATTGTGTTGTTGTTGCCGTGATTAAAGAGAAATATTCCGCAATAGGACCGGGAACCGTGTGATCCATGAATGTTCGCACGTCGCCATCACTCATTAAGGTGGCTTCTCTATTTTCATTTACTTTTAGATCAATTAGTAAACTACTCAGCAAAGTTGTACAATAGTGCAGGAACATTGGAAATGGCATCTTCCTACTCAGTCTCTCATCTTGCGTCTGTAAATCTCGAAATGTTCTCTCTACCAGTAATGGGAATGTAGAAAAATCCAGATTCTGACCGAAATTTTGAGTTATCGGTACTAATCCGGATATTGGCCCCACGGCGTACAAATCTCGCTGCGGGGGCGTTTCCACTTTTGCGCGGAAGCGCGACATGTCCCTCATTGGTGGGGGAGGGGGACGTTCCTCTTTAGTACGTCCTTTCTCTCGCCAGCCAGCTGCTCTCTTTGAGCTATGCTGCTCTCTACTTGGCGTCGGTTTTCGCGGAACAGAGTTATACCTCTCCTCGTGTTCCATTGACGTCTCTGACCAATCGCTGGTCTGAGGAGCTTTAGCCTCATTAAACCGCCACATTCGCGCATAATCGTTGCGTCGTGGTGTTCCACGGAATACTGATTGTTGCGAAGCACCGGAATTCGCAGGCATCTGCCTGGCGCGTCGGTCCATATCAATTAATCTCTGAATACTTTGTAAAAACGACGTGTACCTTCTACCATGGCTATACTTCATACGAATTATCGATTCGTCGGTCTAAAGTATTATTTTCCAAAAGTCTACTGATTTTAAAACATGCATTTCATAAAATCGCATTCATTTTTTCAAATTAATGTTATTTGTACATAGCAATTTTCTTGTTTGGCGGCAATCTGTTGACTGGAAAAATGTGAAAAGGAAAGGAGAGGGAGCGTTTCGTCCTGGGCCTGCTAGTGGACTCGTCAGTAAGGCTACCTAGCAGACCCTGCCTTAGACGCGGGGATATACGATGGTCGGTTAAGGTCGTATATATACGAACGAGGGAGGCCTCAGGTAGTTGCGGGGAAGGTGTCAACTCGGTAGACCTCTGATGGCGAATGTACGAGGTAGTGCCGCCACAGTACCCCTTTGCCAGTGATGAATGATATCAGAGCGAGTTCTTCTTCCTAATGTCAGTTTGTATCGAATCCTTTGAGTACCAGCGAGGACGGGGACGTTGTGATTGGTGCCCGCTCGATGACGATCTGTGTGAAACTGCGTTCCTTGTAGCGCTCTGGTCGTCCGCTGATTCTGCGTCATGTCGCAGCGGGTATCGTTGAGGCGCTGTCGCTGTCGTCCTCCGGCAGCAGGAAACCCTGAATGGCGAGCACGTTGCTTGAGCCGAAGATGCAGGATCGTCGTGGCCAGGCGTGTCGCCTTGGAACCTTATCGAGCCGTATATGCTGCTGTCCTAGAGTGGCCATCGGGAGGGTGAAAATCGTGGCGCTGCGTGCTCCTCCGTGCGTTGCTGATGGCCATCCTAGGAGAGGGATTACGTAGCCTCGGCAATTGTAAAGTGATGTCCATCCACCCATCCTTCTGGTAGTCGCGTCTCTTGCGTTGTAGGCTGCTCCTGGTTGTCGGTCGGTCTCCTTCGTCTGCTGCGTATATCACGTCGGGATTCTTACAGGTATTGAACTGGAAGAGTTTTGCGCTGTTGCAGTATCAGGCTGTCCGGGATCGCAATACGGAAGTATTTGAATACGATCAGGCTGTGTCGAAATATTATCAGAAATTATGTACTCTGGTTTCAATCTATTTATTGAAACTACTGTATTTTTACCGCGTATATTAATTGTAATAGTTTTCTGGTTGCGGCTTATAACCTGATATGGTCCATCATACGGTTGTTGTAAAATTGATTTCGATGCTTCATGACGCAGAAAAACTTGCTCACAATTGTCTAAATCTTTATATACAAATACACGCGGATTACAATGACGCGATACTTCGGTAGGACCGATATTATGGAAATGTTCACGCAATTCTTTAACAAAAATAGCTGTATCCCTATCCGATGCCGCCGATGGTGTCAAAAATTCGCCAGGCAAACGTAAAGATTCGCCATAAACTAATTCTGCTGAGGTAGCCTTTAAATCCTCTTTCCAGGCTGAACGCACGCCCAACATAATGGTCGGAAGAACCTCTGTCCAACGATTATTCTCATAACAACGGATAGCAGCTTTCATTTGGCGGTGAAAACGCTCAACCATGCCATTAGCCGCGGGATTATAAGCCGTGGTGTGAAGATGAGTCGAACCTATTAAAGAATTTAACTCTTTAAAAAGGTGAGACTCGAACTGCCTACCTTGGTCCGTCGTAATCCGTAACGGGGTTCCAAAACGGCAAATCCAACCCTCATAAAACGCGCGCGCTACTTGATCGCGTAAGGGTATTGCCTCCGGCCACCGCGTGTAACGGTCAACGCAGGTAAGACGATATCTATATCCTTCGGAAATAGGTAATATAACTATATCTACATGAACATGCTCAAACCTCGCCGAAGGCTGTGTGAATGTACCTACGGGAGCAGCAACATGCCTAGTCATTTTTGACCGCTGACACGGAATACAATTTCGAGTCCACTCTCGACAATCGGTTCTAATCGACGGCCAAACATAACGCTGGGTTATGGTTTTGATCGTCGAACGGCTTCCGGAATGAGAAAGTCCATGCAACGAATTAAAAATCGCTCGGCGAAAAGGGACCGTAAGAAAAGGCCGCACGCTGTTCGTCGAAACATCGCAATAAATCCTCTTAGCAGAACCCGGAATCGCAAGTAACTTAAGCGATAACCCATCAGATCCTTGTAAAAATGTTTGTAATTCTGGATCCGCAGCCTGAGAAATCGCTAACGCCTCAAAATCTATGGTGTCCTCCACTACTTCGATTCTAGACAACGCGTCCGCAACAACATTGTCACGTCCCGATACATGACGAATATCCGTAGTAAATTGACTTATATAATTTAGGTGTCGAATCTGTTTCGGGGTATGCTTATCTGATTTACCACTGAACGCGAAAACTAAAGGTTTATGATCGGTAAAAACAACAAAGTCTCTACCCTCAAGAAGATGCCGGAAATGTTTAATGGAGGAGTAAATGGCTAAAAGTTCCCTGTCGAAAGCGGAATAATTTTGCTCGGTAGCAGACAGTTTTGTTGAAAAGAAAGCAAGAGGTTCCCAACTATTATTGCTACTCTCATGGAGAGCTGCCCCAACCATAAAATTCAAGGCATCGCAGGTAAGAGCTGTCGATGCATTTGGTTCTGGGTGCACCAGCAAAGCTGCCTGCGACAGGTCTACTT